TTACATGACTGCTGTAATTATTTCATTAACAGAATAATCTAACGAGACCTGAAGGTGTTTTATAACAAACTGTACTCTACTGAGTTGTATTTTTAGAAAAAATGTTTATGTTTATGTGTAAAATATGTTTATGTCTGATAAAGAAATTAATTAGGTTAATTGCTTAGTGGACTACTCAGGTTGGATCAAAAACCACCAGACACAAGGCCCTCAACAAACTGAGCTGGACACCTCTGGTATAAATGAGTAGTTCTGTTCTGTTAGGTGTGCTTGAAGAATCCTACCAGACCAGGAATCCCTGCCTCTCCCTCAGGAATTGAGTCTTGATCCTTCAGCCTGTCAGGAAGAGACTTTCTGATTCTTCTGAGCCCAGGAGAGTATCTGCTGCTCTTCTCTGGACTGATTCCAGAGCAGCAATGTTTTTTTTTATTACTTGGTGTCTCAAAATCGTGCACTGTTCTGAATCAGAAAAAGAAAAGGTTTATTCCGTGCTGAAAAGAGAAGAAAAAAAACACAACATTTTGACTGTGGAGCCTTCTTCGGGCGTGTCCTCCACAGCCGAAACGTGTTTCTTTTCTTTTCTTTCCAGCCATGAATAAACCTGTACTTGCTCCTTTGCGGCCTACGCATGCTGACACAGCCATCTGCTTGCACTATTCTAAATGACCCCTAACCAGTGTATTATACAATATTAACATAACATCCCTTGTTTTAGAATATACGCTGTTAACTATATATCATAACATTTGGGGTGCCTTTTTAATTCCTTTCCCACATTGTCTGCAAGAAGTAAACAGTCTCATGTAAATGTCCATTTTGCTCTAGATATGTGATATCTTTATGATGAGGAACAAGTTATAGGTTTATTCCATGCTGAAAAAAAAGAAGAAAGAGAACACAACGTTTCGGCCGAAACTAAAATTATTCTGCAGCTAGGATCACACATTCTCCCTTCCCTTAACGACAGACTACTGTTCTTTTAAATTTTCTCCATTCATTGGAAGTTTCATTTCACACCTCTCTGCACCCATTCTGACTTCACACCTCTTGATTGGCCTCTCTTTCTGTCCCCTGCTCCCGCCTCTCACTCCTCCTCCCTCCCAACCTTTGTTCTCCCGCTACTTTACCTTTGTCTGCTGCCCTGTCTCTCTCACACCTGAAGAAGGCTCCACGGCCGAAGCGTTGTGTTCTCTTTCTTCTTTTTTTCAGCATGGAATAAACCTATAACTTGTTCCTTTGCAGCCTACGCATGCTGACGCAGCTACCCACCTGAATCTTTATGATGAGCAGACATATACTAGAATGACAATGTGTCAGAGACTCCACCACAGCTGTTATTTCTGCTGGTTACATCTTAGGTAACATGTGTTAGTAGCAGCAAACCCTTTGCATTCAATTCATGATGAAATCAAGCAGAAAATGTTACAAATACACAAGCATTTGATGTGTTGTTTTTTTTATCACTGCGACATTTTGACCATGCCCCTGTGATATCTGAAACACAAATTCAATCCAGTCCCTGAAACTGGGGTCTTCATACAATTGATACATGAATCACTTCTCCTGTCTACGTGAAAAGCTGTCTTGAGAAAAGCCGTGGTTTGAGAGTAACAGATAAGAGGAGACAGTTCTCTGATTGAGTGGTAGGTGTTTAATATCAGCAGTTAGAAACACTCCATTCGTCTGATAAAAAAACAGCGCCCTCTAGAGACGGGTGTCCTCAAAGGTTCAGTTTGTGAGGTGAATTCTTCGGTTGCCATTAAGGGAGAATAATAATTACTTACACGCTTTACAGGTAATGGACTCCCCTCCACCACCAACAATGTGCAGAATCCACTTGGCTCTGTGGATCCTGACAAGTTCATCATTGCGGCCTGTTTCTGCTCCATTTTGATTATAAATAATTCCACATATATAAAACAAGTATAGATTTTTTTTTTAGTTTGTCTGTTAAGGGGTATAAGTACACTATGAAAATCATTTCAAAAGTACTGTATAAATAATGGAAAATAATTTGTGCCGCAATTGTATATCAATGAACAAACAGAAGTGTGATAAAGTTCAATATTGCGCATTGTCACTCCAGAGTTTTGATAGCCCTGTCAGTATCGGTGAAATAGCATGGCCATCTTTTTTCCTGCTCCCACAATCGCCTTGTGCCTCACGCTCTTAGGTTCAAACGCGCTTTTCCCTTTTGGCCTGTTTCTGTCTCTTTTTAATTTGCGTCTTTCAGAAGACATCAGCTTGAGTTAATAGTGTTGGTATCTCCTGAGGATTTAAAATCCCTTGATTTAAATTGCACACTTTTAGCTACATATCCTAACATTATTGTTTACCTTCACCGATATTTCCTATAAGATGTAAATGAAATAACATATATTTATTTTTTCCTCGGTGTATGTGATATCTTTTTGGTGAGCAGACAGCTTTTTTTTTCTTTCTGCCGAGGTTCTGCCGGTTACATCTCGGGTATCTCATCTGAAAGAGTTGTCATACAGCTTCAATCCACTAGAGGGCTGTCTAGTGTTGTTGAGTGACAACACAGGACTGAAGACTGGACAGCAAGACCGAACTGGTAATATAAGAACGTTGTTCTGTGACTTAATGCTGTAAGTTACAAAAACAGTGATTACGACTGTGCATTCAAGAAGTGCACAGTAAATAATAAATGGAGATAAATACTAATAAAAATAATTAACATACGTTGCTAGAAAGCTCCTTTAAATACGATGGTTAATATTTTATTAATGTTCATTTGGCTGTTAGTTTAGTTTCATCTATGAAGCTGAAAAGCTCAGCTCCCAGACTTGAAGCCAGCAACATATTTTCTGACACTGTACTCGCGTGATTCCTATAGTAGTTTTTTGGAATAATAATAATTATTGCAATTGAAATTGAAATGTGGGAGGCATGGTGGTGCAGTGGTTAGCTTTGCTGTCTTACAACTCTGGGGCCCTGGGTTCAATTCCAGATGTGGGGTGCTATCTGTGTGGAATTTGCAAACTCTCCCTGTGTCCATGTGGGGTTTCCTCAGGGTGCTCCAGTTTTCTTCCGCAGTGCAATGAGCTTCTGGCAGGTTAATTGACTTCTGGGAAAACTGGGCCTGGTGTGAGTGTCTGCGTCTGCCCTGCAGTAGACTAGCATCCTGTACAGGGTGTGTCCTGTCTTGTGCCTGTTGCTTGTTGGGATAGGCTCCTTTTTACCCTGCACATTTGTACTGGATAAAGCAGTAAGAAAATGAATGGATGGATGTTAATTAGAACTGGCAGCCTAGAGGGGATCCAGCATTTAATTTTAATATTAATACATTTCAGTAGAATGTTAGAATACCGTTCCTTGATTTTAATTTGACTCAGTTCATTATCTATCCCAGCATTCTGTTATCATTTCTACCACCCCTCTCTCCTGGGGGAGGAAAACGATGAGGCTACCTGATCACTCATGTTCCTTTTCACAGCCACAAGACCTGTGTCACCCATCTTATAATGTGTATTTCTGCTGCTTGACACTGGTCTGCATCACGTCCTGCCCAAATTTCCCATTGGCCTTTACAAATCATGGCCTCCTAATAATCTCCATCTATGAATTGGCTTCATTACTCTGTTCTCCTCCCCAGTAGCTGGTGTGTGGTGAGCGTAATGGAGCACTATGGCTGCCGTCACATCATCCAGGTGGATGCTGCACAGTGGTGGTGGTTGGGGGGAGTCCCCATTACCTGTAAAGCGCTTTAACTGGGGTGTCCAGAAAAGTGCTATATAAGTGGAAGCAATTATTATTATTATCACATTTTATTGGATCTGTATGAGCTGAGCCTGGTTCTGAGGAGTATCCAGTTCTATTCTGATTTGCATTTGCCTTTCCGGGTTCTACAGTGTTTGCAGTAGTTCCCAACTCCTTGTATTTTGGAATCCTGAAAAACAAAATCTGACAGGTCTGTTAGGTAAACCCGAGTAAAATGTGGTTATATAAATTAAGAAAAGCAAGGATTTAAACTCACATCTCTGAGGTACCCCACAAATTGGGGCAGGTCCGTTTTAATTGTCTCCCCTGAGAGTTATTCTTATCCTTTTATTTAGTTACCAGTCCATGTGCACATATCTTGCTCAATTTAAGAGCTATTCTTTAATGTGAAACTTAATACATTAAAAAACTAAATGTACTACATCATACACTCTAATGGCATCCATTTCTGATGCAAGTCGAAGAAGTGAAATAAGTGAGTTCAACAAGATCTGCCCTTTCTGACTAATCTCTGTAAAACAATTCCTTTTCACTATTAATGGCTCTGGAAAACTCTTGATGCGAACGTTAAAGGCCTCGCCAACCCTGTGTAAAACTAGCGTGGGCGCTGGACGGACAGGGACACCGAAAGAAACGAGCACGAAGGAAAACTAGGTGGTTTTCTTGACAAGAGGTCGCCAGAAACAAAGGAGTTCACCCCCAATCCCAGCAGTAAGTGAAATCAAGAGATGCAAACCCGAAAAGATGCAATTTATTTTGAGTCTTTTTTTTTCTCTAAAAAAATAGCAATAACAGTTATATGTGTAAATGTGAATGTATGTTTGTAGCGAGGGTCCTGATTCCGAGCAACTCCTGCAAATGAGGGTCCTGTTGTTAGTGTTGGGACACTGTTCTGGTAGATTACATTAATGATGCCAGGACACTTTAGAATATAGAACATCTCAGTACTACAGTCAGCACTGCACATTTAAATGACGTGTTATGGACTGTGTTATAGTTTCTACCTGACGCTGTATTCTGCCACACCCTTCCAATGAGCTCATATCAGTTTACTTCGAATTACTATGTTTTCACCACAGTGCTCTGTAGAGCGGCACAGCGGGTACCGCAAACCAGAATGTGTCCCAAGTGACTCCGCAGGTCTAGCAGGAAGAGTTTTGGCTCTGGTCGCAAGCTGTTAAAGGTTCCGAGGTTTGCATGCCAATAGCGCCGTTTTTAGAATTAATTCACATGCACACAGGGCATTGCACAGTTTAATTTATTCGTAATAATTCGTAGGTTTTTTACCGATTTATTTCGTACGTGCTGTGGCGAAAACGGAAGGAATATTTCAACCCAACAGAATATGACTTTAAAAGAAAAAGCACAACACCAAGCCACCAAAATCGTCGCTGTTACCGGGCAGACTGACGGAGCATGGCTAGGGAGGTGTGACAGGAAGTTCGTGAGGCGCTGCATCAGCGCAACTGGGAAACGAAATTGGACGTCATCAGCATGACGGAAAGAGATGTTGACGGATTTTGGCCAAGGGTCTAGCCGAGCTCCCCGTCAGATCTACTTAACACGGCCCTACAGTTGCATATGTCTTTAAGAAAACCGGTCCTGACAGACTACGGTTATTTTTTTCTTTCACGCTGAGTTCCGTTGCAAGCAGAAAGAAAGTGCGACGGGCTCATTCGGGGTGCGCTGTATGTGTTGAGCATCTGGAGGAAGCAGGGGCGGCTCTTGTCGCGGCGGCTCGCTGGGTGGGGAACTGTGCACAGCCTCTGGGGGACGCGTCTGACCATCCGCCTGCCCGTCATGCTACAGCAGGAGAAGAGCGAGGAGGAGGCCACGGTGGATGTCCATTTCACTGATCTGCCCGACGCGCTGATCGCCTGCAAGGTGGACCAGGACGTCTTTCTGGACCATCAGTTCAGGGTGAGGATGAAACAGCGGTTTTCCTTGTCTGTGCGTCTTATCGTGGTGGTGGGGGTGCACCAACACAAACACGTCTGCGCCTTTGACAGAGACCGGTAAGAGCAGCTGCAGCCAGGAGTGTCACTTAATAACACAACATTCAGTTTCATGCACCACAAAAGGGAGGGGTTAGCCCCCGTTTACAGGGTGTTCTAAGTTATCTACGCATGATAAACCTGAGCCGATCTGCCTGTTGTTGCACATTCCTAATAGGTAATCATGCGCTCTCTAATTTTCCAGGGAAAACGCAACTCGTCTGTTTTTTTTTTTGTTGGAAAATTGCAGACCCTGAGGTGACGCGCGACTATTTTGAAGGACGAGCACATTTTGCTGTGTCCGGGTTAAGGATAGTGAAACGGCTAACGGTGAAAATAAATGCCTTTATACTGAATGGTTGCACTGAATGATTCAGGTTCTGAAATATATCTCGCTGTGTGTCAACTTTTTCTGTGCCTGAGTTTTAACTTCCTTTTATATTTTAAAGGACAGAGGTGTCACCACACCTACCTTTGACAAGGTTGAGGACTCAATTCAAGTGTCCATTATCAGAAAGGTTACAAACGAGTGGTGCCTGTCTGTTCCATGTTATACTTAGTGCTTAATTGATCCACAAATCTCATCCGGATGTTTCTTGCAAGAGACCTGGTGATCAGCTTGAACCACGTGGCTGGGCAGCTTGTTCCACACTCCCACAACACTTTGTGTAAAGACATACCCCCTGTTTTCAGTTTTAAGTGCAATCCCATGTACGTTCCACTTGTGTCCCCTATTATATGTTGTCACTTTCTTAAGAAGTCCGCTGGGTTGATCCTCTCAGTGACTCTGAGGATTATGAATACTTGAAGCAGGTCCCGTTGTAGTCTTCTCTGTTCAAGACTAAAAAGGTTCAGTTCCTTCAGCCTGTCAGTGCAGGACACTCCCTTCAGCCCCAGCGTGTATCTGGCAGCTCTTCTCTGGACTGATTCCAGAGTAGCAATATCATTTTTCATAACTTTATAGAAATAGATTTGCTCTTTTCTGAACCAGCCAGTGGGGTGGGGGTGTGGGGTAATTTAATCAATTAAGACTCTGTGGCCCCCAGGCAGGGTGTGAGCCCCCCCACCTGTCTTCAAATCTGGAAGCTCTCTGTCATGCTGTGCCACAGAGGAGCCCTGGGTTAGTGTGTCTAGTAGTGTGGAGCAGTGATTAGGACTAAGGACTCAAGACCAGAGGGTTGTGGGTTCAAGTCCCAGGTGGGACAATGCTGTTGTACCCTTGAGCAAGGTTATCTAGCCCTGTACCAGTGTAAGATTTCTTTGGATAGAAACATCAGAGGAATACAGTGACATAACCGATGCTTGGTTCTGACACGACACTCAGTGTTTTAACCATATAGGCCTACCTGGACTGATTCTTCATCCTTGGTGTACATTGTGCTGGGAGGAACTTCTGTAAATCCTGGAGAAAAGATCTGGGCACAAACTTTGTCCTTTAAACAAAGTTCTGCGGTCCATGTGCTACCGGGTGGATGCCTTGGGCTACCTGAGGTTTTTTTGGGGGTGTCTCTGTGGTTCTCAAATCGCGAGAGTGTGTTATATGAGGAAACATGTCTCCTGAAAGACCCAGTGAAGTATGTCAGACTCAACCCAGCACCTGGGCAGAGCTCTGGGTGGGAACTATAAGAAATGGACAACCAGCCTGCTGAGCTGCTGGAAAATTCACAGCGTCTGTGTGGAGGAGAGGTGCTGGGCGAGTCGTGTGTTTTCCCTGGGTGAGGGGCAGGAGCAGGGTGCTGAACTGAGGTAGGAAGGGGAAGGATCCACCAGTTCTAGCCCAGAAAGAGCTCCAGGAGCCCAGCTTGGATTCTCCATTTCTTCCCTTGTGGGCTCAGGGTGCGAGACGAGTGGTGGCCAACTATTACAGACTGGCGCTCTGGGTTCGAGACTGCCCCTTAACTGAGCAGTCGGTCACCCGCAGCAGCTCCGGCTCTGCCCCTGCTGGGCTCTATCCCTGGAGCGTGACTACGTCAGGGCAGTGTGGCAGCAGGGCTAGGGGCTGAGTAACGGGTACGACCCAGTGTTCAGTGTGGTGAAACAGTGCTTTCCAGTTCCTGATGGAAAACCGAGCCATGATGACTCAGGAATGGAATGTACTGTGCGGGAGATGGAGGTGCTATCAGTAGACTATCTGCAGAATTGTGGTGACAGCCTGGGATCTGGACTAATTGTTTACAGCAGGATGTTTCAGCTCTGAGCCAGGAGGCTCTGGTTGTGATTTCTTCGTCTCTTGAAAGCAGCAGCACCTGAAGAGACGGTGGCAGTTGATCCATTTTTCCAGTTCCAGGTCACTGATTGATTGAGGTCATTAAGAGCTGGGCTGGAATGTAAACCGACAGACACACTGGCCCAGAGGTGGCCTCTCCTGGGTTAAAAGGGGAAAAAGAGAAAGTTCAAGATCACTTACAAGAAAGCTACCAGTGATGTAGTTCTTCATTTGCCGTGCTGGAAATACCGTCATTGAAAAAGTATTATTTGTTGCATATGTGCACTGAAACACTGAAAGCCAAGACAAGCCCAAGTTAAGTTGTTGTTTCCGCCATTGCTTGGGGCGGAGCGGTGGCTCTGTGGCTAAGGATCTGCGCCTATAGCTAGAAGGTTGCCAGTTCAAATCCCGCAGCCGGCAGAGGAATCCTACTCCATTGGGCCCCTGAGCAAGGCCCTTAACCCATACTGCTCCAGGAGCGCCGTACACTGGCAGACCCTGCGCTCTGACCCCAGGCTCTCTCCCTACCTGTGTGTCTCATGGAGAGCAAGCTGGAGTATGTAAATAGATAATTCCTAATGCAAGAAATTGTAAAGGGTTAATAAAGTAATGTTATTATTAGAATCAGCCATCTTTTCACAGATGTCTTCGGTTGTTCTGGCCGTTCTTCACGGTTGGACCGTCAAAAGTGTCGATCAACGCTAGTCTGTGCTGTAATCCAGGCGTCGGTATTCAGAGCAAGTGACGTCTCTTCTTCCCGTGTGCGCTGTTCGATTCCGAGCCCATCTGAACCGGCATTACGGCAGGCGTCTTTCAGACTGTTTTAGAATCCGTTACTTAATTAAATATTGGCCAGAGAAGGAGAAGGAAACCTTGCAGAAAAACGTGTTTTGTAGACCGAAGATTTCAGTGGTGCAGGTGAAGAATGTTTATTTCTGTTCCCTTTGACGTTCCCGAATCTGCGACTGGGACTCCTGATGGTGACGCACCGGCTTTTATTGCTCTTGGAGGGTACCGATCTCTTTCCTGCTGTCTTTAAAAGTGGGTGCCCTTTCAGCACCTCCACCCAGTCACAGGGCCACACGTATTTGTGTCTGTCAAGCCAGGTGCCTGCAGTGTTTTCTGGCTGTGTGATGTCTTTAGAAATCTCCAGAAGCTCTATTGGAAAGTTGCTGTGAGCCCGGTTCCTGTGTGGTCGCCGTTGGTCCGATCCCCTTTTAAAAAAACACAGTGTTGCGGTCTCACAGTTTCTGTGCACGGGTCACGTTGTCGGCGCAGTAAACACTTCATCATCTTGCATCTCGCTTGGAGAGACGTGACTCAGAGATCCTTATTCCAGGCGGCAAACATCTTTATTTGTCTTTCCAGCAGAGCTGAGGAATCTCATGACCGCGCGGTGAATTGGCCTTTGTTTGTGGAGGGTGTTTTATTCTGGAGTTTCCGGCTGCTCAAGCTGAGACAGAGCGGATCGTTTGCTCGCTGGAAGGCACCCTTCCTCCCAGGAACGGGGATCGGGGACAGGGCTGGACGGCCTGGAAACACTAGCAGCTGGAATTGGGAATTTTTGCTTGCCTGTAAGCGAGCAAGAACACCTGCACATGCAGCAGGGGGGTGCAGTATAACCCCTTCCAGCAGGGCGTGCCCCTCGATTCCTCCCCAGAACCTCTCCGGCTCTTGCCACAATTGTCTAGCTCACACCTAGAGAGCCACGGCCTAGTGTCCTTTTCTAAAAACCGAAAGGAACTATAATAATGAAGCCGGTCGATCTTCCTGTGAACTCACAGTCCCTTCTAGGAGTTATGACTTGCTAAACGTTTCAACAACGTGCCTCCTCTTACATTTATTGAATAATTCAGCACTATTACCACTTATCAGTAAGTGGTGGTGATCTGTAAAATGAACTGGACACCGCATCTGTGTCCAGGATCTGATAGGTAAACAACGCTGGTAGTTATACTGCCCATTTCCCCCTTTAGCCCCCAGGCAGATATTTGTTTATGATGTACATATGAGCGGTGGTATGGTGGCAAAGTGGTTAACGTGGCTACCTTACCGGCTGGGGCCTTGGGTTCGGTTCCTAGGGTGCTGTCTGTATAGAGTTTATATTTTCTCCCCGTGTTCACACGGGTTTCCTCCCAGTGCTCAGGTTTCCTCCCACAGTCCAAAAACACGCTACTATAATTGCTAGGTCAATTGGATTCTGGGAAAAATTGGCCCTGGAAGTGTGTGTAATTGCGTCTGTGAGTTTCCCGCCTTGGGTCTGTTGCTTGCTGGGATAGGTTTTGTCTTCCCACAACCCTGAAAAAAGCGGATAGAAAATGGGTGGATGGCAGGAAAAGAATATGTTAAACACAAGAGGAGGCCATTTTATTTAGTTGGGATGCCAAGTGGTTAATCGACTCCAGAACGTGGCTGGGTAGTTTGTTCCACACACTTGTGACTCTTTGTGTAAAGCTAAGGCTGACAAAATCCATTTTCTCGATGTCCATTTCAGGAGAATTCAGGCAGAAAAGAGTTACAGCCTATGGTGACCTGTCTGTGGAAGATACAGACTGGGTTTCATGATCGAATGGCTTGGAAAAACATGAGTCAGAGTTACAAGTCACCGGGATCGTGCCAACTTTCTCCACCTCAGCTTATGACTGCTGAGAAGTCCTGAGGCAGAAAGCCCCTAAGATTCCAGCTGCTTAGTTTTCGGAAAATGTTTCAAAGCTGTCTCT